TCATTATTCATAATTTTTTCCAGTACTTTTAATAAAAATCTATGACAATTTTTTACAATATTTTTATTGTATTGCGTCCTGAAAGAGGAAGTATTGTAATATCAAAATTTTTCGAGTTCGATTTTTTGACACATCTTTATGTTATTTGACCTCAGGAGTTCAATAATGATATATTTAAAATATGTAATTCTGTATGTGTGTGTAAATAACACAATTTCATAAATATCTCGAGATCATGCAGAACTTTAGGAATAAATTTTTTAAAAATTGTAGGTCTCACGTGCAGACATAAAATAAGAGTACGTTTGGCATAGATTAATAAAGTTTAACTATGTTTTTTTGGATTTTTAATTATGCAAAAAACGGTTTTTGGTTATTACTTTAAAAAGTAAATAAAAGGAAATACTTTGTATTTTTGTCAATATACAAATATTCAATATCAATCAATAAATGTTTATTGTAAGTAGCAGTAAAAGGCTAATTTCTTCCTTTCCTTATAATTAAAAAGATATCTTTGTCAAAATATTAAATATAAGAGAGTCAACAGGTATTACTTTGCAAAAATGACATACATTCATGTCAACCGAATACTTTTTTCCTATTAAGACCCTTCAGGGTGTGTGATTCATGAATCCAATACCCATCGTGGACCCTTCAGAGAGCATTGGTCTCAGGTGACTTCCCAAACGCCGTTTTCAAATATTTTTGTAACAAATGAGATAATTGACACCGTGAACAACAGATTATACTATTACAAAAAGAACGCCAAATTCGGTTGCTTTAAACTAATCTTTAATGCTTACTAAGTTTACATTTTTGATTGTTAGCGGTAGAGATGGTTTCTCCAGAACAGATCCACGCTTTGCACAGTGCCAAGGTAGATCTTAACTGCACAGGCGCTAATATCCTACGACTGACACGTCCAGAAAGCCCGCTGGAGAGATAAGTCTTAACCCATCCACATCCTCCCGATTTGTTTTCTCGGGTCTTAATTCTACACAATGATCGACTTTCTTAATGTCAATCGTGAATTGAATCTAAATAACTATGATTTCGTACTTATTTTAAAGTGAAATCTGTTGACTCACTTATTTGGTAAAATAATATAAATTTAAGTTTAATTTTTTTTCTTTGTTTATTCATGTTTCTTATTTTTTTAGCTAGTTTTATCCTTTTGAGAAGTTTTAGGTTTAGCATATTTTAGAGATACTTGTATATTTTACAGTAATGTTTGCGCGACTTATGAAAATTAGTGTCGGACTAACACTCCATTTTTTTAACTACGAAACGAGTTGAGAAAAGGCTTCGGGACCACAACTGTTTTTTTACGGAAAACGGGAGGTAGAGAACGTTTAACTTTTCACGAGACAAAACCGATTTATTTTCGCGATGAAATTCCTTATCCAATTGTCATTGATTTTTATTTTAATTGTACTGGAAAATTATCATCATTTATCAATAAACTCTTTTTCTTTCTAAATATTTAATAAATTCTTAAATCTGAGAGTATATTATTAAGTTTGTTTATGCATTTTGCATTTTTATATATTAAATTACAGGAATCAAGTGAGTTTAAAAATTCTTCATTAAATTAAAATACATGTTTCATTCCCTGATTACCAGTTAATGAGTAATATTGGGAGTGTTCATAAACTTTATGTGACTGCTCAATTCATAACCAGTCAAGGATGTACCAACGGATGTTCATGAGCTTGCGTTACGGTCTAATTCCAAACCCCTCGTTCTAACCAATTGACTCTTTTTACATCAATCAAATAAAAGCTAAAAGTAATCTAATTGTTTTAAGTGAATATTTTTGACTCACTTTCTTTTCATAATATTCTTTAGATTATTATCATGGAAAGTCTTACAACTGATATAATGAACGGGTGGTACCTGTTACTACTTAAAAGTTTCAATAAAATTTTCTTTACTTTAGAATGTTTAGCAACATCCCACCAACAATTAATAAAATTACTTCCTCATAGAGGAAGTATTGTAATACCGAAATTTTTCGAGTTCGATTTTTTGACATATCTTTATGTTATTTGACCTCAGGAGTTCAAAAATGTCATTCCGTATGTGTGTGTGTAAATATCTCATTTTCAATTTTTCATAAATATCTCGGAATGGTATAAAGCTTTTGGGTTGAATTTTTTTTTAAATTGTAGATCTCACCTGCGGACATAAGATGAGAGTACTTTGTGATAGATTAATAAAGTTTAACTTAATTTTTTTTGGATTTTTAATTTTGCAAAAAAACGTTTTTTGCTCATAACTTTAAAAAAATGTTAGGATCCCTATAAATGTTTTTCCAGAATTTTGTTGAGTTTTTTTTTAGACACATCTTTTGAGCCCTAATTGAACATTTTTCGTCCATATTAACCGGAGATATTAAATTTTTAAAAATCACGAATTTTTGAAAATTTTGTCGAAAAATGTAGAAGTAGATTTAAAATCATCGTTACGAACTTGTAGAGCATTAAAAAAACGCTTTGACTGACCTATTTTTAAACCTAATTCGATAATAAATTTCGAAGTTATTGGTATTTTAAAAACAAAAAATTGTGGAATGATATTTTCTCAACTATTTTGTTTGAAAATTTTTGTTTAACTATATATTCATATATTTCTATTGTTTTGTCTTTATGAGGAGGCAATGTGTTCATGAAATGAGCACCAAAATTATAAAAAATATATACTACTTGGCAGCGGTTTTTTAATGATATAATTAACGTTTTTTGAGAAATTCAATTAAAATTGTATTAAAAATATTCGAAATTCTGTGGTGGGCTTTATTATTAATGAAAATAATTGAATTCCTAAATAGCAGTTACTTATTTTGGAAATCATTGAATGTTTATAAAAAAAATGTTATTATTTATGAAAATAATTGAATTATTCGGGAGAAATTTTTTAAAAATTTTGTAAAATTATTCATTATTTATAATTTAAAGTAGGGGAGACTGGGGCGAAAAGTTAAATTGTGAAAACAGTTAAAATTCATTATCTTTCGAAAGGAAATAGTTAGAGCATTGCAATTTTAATTATAGAAGGGTGTTATCACTCTAAATAAATGTCTGGAGTTATGTGACTTTCTGCTAATTTTTGTGGTGTCCATATTTAAATTTTTTTTTCAGTCTACTTTTGAAAATTTTTTCGTAAAAGAAAATATCAACTTTTGAGTACATTTTTTGCATTTATTCTCACCGCGATTTTTTTACATCATTATTTGGGTCCCCAGAAGAGATACCTAAAAGTATTTGCTAAATATCTTTAGTCAGATTTTTTATATTTGTTGTTAAAGCCAAAAACGCACCCTGGGGCGAAAAGTTAAATAATGGGTGGGGCGAAAAGTTAAATGTATTTTTACATGTTATTAAAAAAATTTTTTTTATTTTTCGTTTTTTTGAGTTTATTTGTTTAAAAATGATATATTTGACATTAGGCAAGTACTCTATCAAAAAACAAGACCGCTCACGTGAAATAAACTAAAAAATTTTTTTTTTTTGAAATTTCAATTTATTAACTTTATAATTATTCTAAAGCTTTAGTTAAGTAAACAAAGATCTTTTATTAACTAAATTACTTGTTTACGTATACTTTAACTTATCTATTACTTAACACCTATCAGAAAATAGTTTTAGTAGGCTAAAAATAGAATTTAACTTTTTGCTCCAGCCATTTAACTTCTCGCCCCAACATGGGGCGAAAAGTTAAAAAAAACAAAATTTTCAAAAAAGGACAAAACATGTATTATATGCGAAAATATCATAAACTTTTTTATTGAAAGTTGTAGGGGACAAGTTGCGGATAATATTGTCTAAAAAAAATCATTTATGCAAAATTTAACTTTTTGCTCCAGTCTCCCATAACAATTTTATAATGGTTTTTCAAGAATTAAGTTGGTTAAAAAGAAGTTATTGTTAGAAATAAAAAAAATTTAAGGTTTTTTTTTATTAAAATTAGTGGTAATTTCATGGTTTTTAATGCAAACAAACAAGACAGCAAAATTCTTAGTTGAATGAATTTTAAAAAATTTAATTTTTTTTAAGTACTTTTAATAAAAATCCCTAATTTTTTCTGGATTTTCTGACCTTCAGTTTATGAAACCAATTTAATTAATTAAATTTAATTATTAAATTAATATTAATTATTTAATTAATTTTTTAACTTAACAATAACATTTTTTTAGGTACTTAATATAAAAATGTGATTTTTTAACTTTTATAATTTTTATCTACAAACGTTTAAGGTATAAATGGGGATGATATAATTGTTTTTCAATATTTCAATATTCAATTTCATATATATAGGTACTTACCCCAAAATAGCCTGCGGTCGCAAGGGATAATACCAGTCAGGCAGCAATGACAAGCAATGAGCAACTTACTGCTACACACAGTAAAAAGAAAGTCTTATATTAAGACAGAAAAGCGGCCTTAAATTATGATGCAACATTTTTAAGGCAGTGAATGCTGAATTCACGCAAAAGATTTTATATGATTTAACATTATAGAAGACAGTGCTGAATTTAAGACTGACCTTAAATTAAGAATTACTTTTTACTGTGCTTGACTGGTATTATCCCTTGTTCTTAATTTTTTTACAAAACTACAAATGTCCCTGAGTGTGGAAAACAATATAAACTATAATTATTGTTTACATAAGCGTACAGCAGTTGACATTAATTTCGAAAAGTTAGTATTTTTTGAAAAAATTATAATTTAATTAATTGAAAAAAATTCTTAATTTTTAGGACAACACTACAGACGTTCCTGAGTGTGGAAAAATATTTAAACAATAATTAAAGTTTATATTAATATACAGTTTTTTCTTTAATTCAAAAGTTTTTGTAATGAAAAATTTCAATGATATGTAAATTATTAATTTAGCTTTTAAAGTAAAGAGTGAAATTAGGGAAGTAATGTGGTTTACGGATAAATGTATCATTTTTTCTTGGTGTAGTAGGTAATAAAGGGAAATAAAATATTAATTTCTTTGACTTACCCCCAATCATGGGTGAGAAAATGTTGCTGTAATGTTAAGCGTTGCTTGCTGAATCCTCTTGTGTGTTATTAATTTTTTTTTTTTTTTTTGCTAAACTGTCAACTTACTTATCTATTTTCCTAACTAATACAATTTATTACATATTTCCTAGCTAAATAAATCACAACACACAAATATTTTTTACACTTTAAAATTAATCTAATACACTAAAAGTTGAACCCAAAATGCAGAATGAAGATTTTCTGCATCTCTGCCAATTTTGAGGAACGCTTCTGTGAAATGTTGAGTCTTCTTCCTGTAGATTTATCACCGATGAATGTTGAAAAAAATTTCCCTGTAAGATAAATTAAGTCAGTTAGACAAAAAGAAAATAAATACATAAATTATTATAAATTATTAAAATTTATTAAAATAATTGAAATAATGAAATAATATTTAATTTAAAACATAAATAATGTTTAGAAATAATTTTCATTGAAATTAAACATTAAAACACAAACATAATTCCTTATTTAAAAAATTGTAAATAAAAATAAAAAAAAATAAATAAAATAAAAAAATTAAATTAAAAAATAATTAATTAATTAAATTAAATATTAAAAATTTAAAAAAATTTTTTAATCACTGATATTACATTTTTTGGTAATTTAAATTATAATGTTACAATTTTTTTTAAAAAAAGTACATTCCATGCTACTTACAAATAAAAATGGTCTGCTGTTAAAAATATATTTAATTAAATTTCATTATTTGAGAAAAAGACTCTTTTAACAATTTCTTCCATCCAAAGAGTTTAAAGAACTACGATTCTATGACCAACAGACTCAACTAAAAGACGAAAACTATCAACGAAGGAAAGCAAAGGAGGGGGGGGGGGGAAGGCTCGATTATTATTTCTTACTTTCATTGTCGATAAAGTGAAGATAGACAAGGACGAAATGAAAACAAAATCAGATAACAATGCCGAGGGTCGTTACCTGAAATTGTTTACAATAGGGGATTACTTCTCGATTCTAATACTGACGAATAATTTAACAAGAAATAAATTATATTAACTTAATTTATCTATTTTTGTCGTTTAATATTTATAAAATTAGGTTTTAATTAATAATTAATAATTAATATTTTAAGAAAATAGTTTAATATTACTTTACTTACTAAATTCGAAAAAGAGAAAAAATTTCTGCTGCCCCCAAATTCGTAAATTTTAAAAATTTATTAATTATTTAAAATACTACGTCACACTAAGAGGCACAAAATATGTTAATGAGGGGTTCGCAATTTACAGCCTGGAGACATACAAATTGTATCATTGTTTATGTACCGCAAGGTCAAAGGCAATAAACATTGTTAATATTGAAATTTGATAAAAATTTAATTTCTCTTAAATTTTGAAAATTCAAAATTTATCTACCGGGTGACAAATTAAATCGATTTAAAAATTTGAATATTTTCAGTTTTTTAATAATTTTTTATTAAATTACTTTAATTATTAAATTATAATATTAATTTTTTTTATGAATTTCATCACTTATTATTTACATAATTAGGTATTATTTAATTAACTAATTAATAATTTAAGAAAATAATTTCATATTATTTTACTTACCGAAAACAAAATTTGTAAAAATTAATTTCTCTTACATTTTGAAAATACAAAATTTATCTACCGGGTGACAAAAATTAAATCGAGCATTTAAAAATTTAAATATTATCAATTTATACGATTTCATTTATATTTTATTTATTTGTTTCTATTTATAATTGATAATTTTATTTATTGTAATAAAAGGGACAAAAGTAGAGGGGGAAATGACGTATATTTTTTTAAGGGAAAACATTTTTGTATTCATTTATTTTTTTACTCCTGGGAAAATACCGGGAGATTTCTGAGAATTTTTTGAGAAACTTTTTCATGTGGGATAGTTAAATAAAAGTGAAATAAAATATTAATTTCTTTGACTTACCCCCAATCATGGGTGAGAAAATGTTGCTGTAATGTTGGCGTTGCGTTAAACGCTTCTGTGAAATGTTGAGTCTTCTTTTTCCTGTAGATTTATCACCGATGAATGTTGAAAAAAATTTCCCTGTAAGATAAATTAATTCAGTTAGACAAAAAGAAAATAAATACATAAATTATTATAAATTATTAATTATTAAAATTTATTAAAATAATTGAAATAATGAAATAATATTTAATTTAAAACATAATTAATGTTTCGAAATAATTATCATTCAAATTAAACATTAAAACACAAACATAATTCCTTATTAAAAAAATTGTAAATAAAAATAAAAAAAAATAAATAAAATAAAAAAATTAAATTAAAAGATAATCAATTAATTAAATTAAATATTAAAAATTTTAAAAATATTTTTAATTACTGATATTAAATTTTTTGCTCATTTAAATTATAATGTTACAATTTTTTTTTTTAAAAAGTACATTCCATGCTACTTACAAATAAATGGTCTGCTGTTAAAAATATATTTAATTAAATTTCATTATTTGAGAAAAAGGAAATTTTAACAATTTTTTTCATCCAAAGAGTTTGACGAACTGCGATTCTATGACCAACAGACTCAACAAGAAGACGAAAACTATCAACGAAGGAAAGCAAAGGGGGGGAAAGGCTCGATTATTATTTCTTACTTTTATTGTCGATAAAGTGAAGATAGACAAGGACGAAATGAAAACAATTTTAGGTAACAATGCCGAGGGTCGTTAGCTGAAATTTTTTACAATAGGGGATTACTTCTCGGTTCTAATACTGACGAATTATTTAACAAGAAATAAATTATATTAATTTAATTTATCTATTTTTTTCGTTTGATATTTAAAAAATATAAAATTAGGTTTTAATTAATAATTAAAGAAAATAATTTAATATTACTTTACTTAATAAATTCGAAAAAGAGAAAAATTGTCCCAAAAAATATCTGCTGGCACAAAATTCATAAATATTAAAAATTTATTTATTATTTAAAATACTACGTCACACTAAGAGGCACAAAATATGTTAATGAGAGGTTCGCAATTTACAGCCTGGAGACATACAAATTGTATCATTGTTTATGTACCGCAAGGTCAAAGGCAATAAACATTGTTAATATTGAAATTTGATGAAAATTTAATTTCTCTTAAATTTTGAAAATTCAAAATTTATCTACCGGGTGACAAATTAAATCGATTTAAAAATTTGAATATTTTCAATTTTTTAATAATTTTTTATTAATTTACTTTAATTATTAAATAATAATATTAATTTTTTTTATGAATTTCATCACTTATTATTTACATAATTAAGTATTATTTAATTGACTAATTAATAATTTAAGAAAATAATTTCATATTATTTTACTTACCGAAAACAAAATTTGTAAAAATTAATTTCTCTTACATTTTGAAAATACAAAATTTATCTACCGGGTGACAAAAATTGAAACGAGCATTTAAAAATTTAAATATTATCAATTTATACGATTTCATTTATATTTTATCTATTTATTTCTATTTATAATTGATAATTTTATTTATTGTAATAAAAGGGACAAAAGTAGAGGGGGAAATGACGTATATTTTTTTAAGGGAAAACATTTTGTATTCATTTATTTTTTTACTCCTGGGAAAATACCGGGAGATTTCTGAGAATTTTTTGAAAAACTTTTTCATGTGGGACAGTTAAATAAAAGTGAAATAAAATATTAATTTCTTTGACTTACCCCCAATTATGGGTGAGAAAATGTTGCTGTAATGTTGGCGTTGCGTTGAACGCTTTTGTGAAATGTTGAGTCTTCTCTTTCCTGTAGATTTATCACCGATGAATGTTGAAAAAAAATTTCCCTGTAAGATAAATTAAGTCAGTTAGACAAAAAGAAAATAAATACATAAATTATTATAAATTATTATAAATTATTAATTATTAAAATTTATTAAAATAATTGAAATAATGAAATAATATTTAATTTAAAACATAAATAATGTTTAGAAATAATTATCATTCAAATTAAACATTAAAACACCAAACATAATTCCTTATTAAAAAAATTGTAAATAAAAATAAAAAAATAAATAAAATAAAAAAATTAAATTAAAAGATAATGAATTAATTAAATTAAATATTAAAAATTTTTTAAAATTTTTTAATTACTGATATTAAATTTTTTGCACATTTAAATTATAATGTTACAATTTTTTTTTTAAAAAAGTACATTCCATGCTACTTACAAATAAATGGTCTGCTGTTAAAAATATTATTTAATTAAATTTCATTATTTGAGAAAAAGACTCTTTTAACAATTTCTTCCATCCAAAGAGTTTAAAGAACTCCGATTCTATGACCAACAGACTCAACTAAAAGACGAAAACTATCAACGAAGGAAAGCAAAGGGGGGGAAAGGCTCGATTATTATTTCTTACTTTCATTGTCGATAAAGTGAAGATAGACAAGGACGAAATGAAAACAAAATTTCAGGTAACAATGCCGAGGGTCGTTACCTGAAATTGTTTACAATAGGGGATTACTTCTCGATTCTAATACTGACGAATTATTTAACAAAAAAAAAATTATATTAACTTAATTTATCTATTTTTGTCGTTTAATATTTATAAAATTAGGTTTTAATTAATAATTAATAATTAATATTTTAAGAAAATAGTTTAATATTACTTTACTTACTAAATTCGAAAAAGAGAAAAAATTTTTGCTCCCCCCAAATTCGTAAATTTTAAAAATTTCTTAATTATTTGAAATAATACGTCACACTAAGAGGCACAAAATATGTTAATGAGGGCTTCGCAATTTACAGCCTGGAGACATACAAATTGTATCATTGTTTATGTACCGCAAGGTCAAAGGCAATAAACATTGTTAATATTGAAATTTGATGAAAATTTAATTTCTCTTACATTTTGAAAATTCAAAATTTATCTACCGGGTGACAAATTAAATCGATCATTTAAAAATTTGAATATTTTCAATTTTCAATATTTTTTTATTAATTTACTTTAATTATTAAATTATAATATTAATTTTTTTTTTATGAATTTCATCACTTATTATTTACATAATTAGGTATTATTTAATTAACTAATTAATAATTTAAGAAAATAATTTCATATTATTTTACTTACCGAAAACAAAATTTGTAAAAATTAATTTCTCTTACATTTTGAAAATACAAAATTTATCTACCGGGTGACAAAAATTAAATCGAGCATTTAAAAATTTAAATATTATCTATTTATACGATTTCATTTATATTTTATCTATTTATTTCTATTTATAATTGATAATTTTATTTATTGTGATAAAAGGGACAAAAGTAGAGGGGGAAATGACGTATATTTTTTTAAGGGAAAACATTTTTGTATTCATTTATTTTTTTACTCCTGAGAAAATACCGGGAGATTCCCAAGAATTATTTGAGAAACTTTATCATGTGGGACAGTTAAATAAAAGTGAAATAAAATATTAATTTCTTTGACTTACCCCCAATCATGGGTGAGAAAATGTTGCTGTAATGTTGGCGTTGCGTTGAACGCTTTTGTGAAATGTTGAGTCTTCTCTTTCCTGTAGATTTATCACCGATGAATGTTGAAAAAAATTTCCCTGTAAGATAAATTAATTCAGTTAGACAAAAAGAAAATAAATATATAAATTATTATAAATTATTAATTATTAAAATTTATTAAAATAATTGAAATAATGAAATAATATTTAATTTAAAACATAAATAATGTTTAGAAATAATTATCATTCAAATTAAACATTAAAACACAAACATAATTCCTTATTAAAAAAATTGTAAATAAAAATAAAAAAAAATAAATAAAATAAAAAAATTAAATTAAAAAATAATTAATTAATTAAATTAAATATTAAAAATTAAAAAAAAATTTTTAATTACTGATATTAAATTTTTTGCTCATTTAAATTATAATGTTACAATTTTTTTTTAAAAAAAGTACATTCCATGCTACTTACAAATAAATGGTCTGCTGTTAAAATTATTATTTAATTAAATTTCATTATTTGAGAAAAAGGAAATTTTAACAATTTTTTTCATCCAAATAGTTTAGCGAACTGCGATTCTATGACCAACAGACTCAACAAGAAGACGAAAAATATCAACGAAGGAAAGCAAAGGGGGGGAAAGGCTCGATTATTATTTCTTACTTTTATTGTCGATAAAGTGAAGATAGACAAGGACGAAATGAAAACAATTTTAGGTAACAATGCCGAGGGTCGTTAGCTGAAATTGTTTACAATAGGGGATTACTTCTCGGTTCTAATACTGACGAATTATTTAACAAGAAATAAATTATATTAATTTAATTTATCTATTTTTTTCGTTTAATATTTATAAAATAAGGTTTTAATTAATAATTAATAATTTAAGAAAATAATTTAATATTACTTTACTTACTAAATTCGAAAAAGAGAAAAATTGTCCCAAAAAATATCTGCTGCCACAAAATTCGTAAATTTTAAAAATTTATTAATTATTTGAAATACTACGTCACACTAAGAGGCACAAAATATGTTAATAAGGGGCTCGCAATTTACAGCCTGGAGACATACAAATTGTATCATTGTTTATGTACCGCAAGGTCAAAGGCAATAAACATTGTTAATATTGAAATTTGATAAAAATTTAATTTCTCTTAAATTTTGAAAATTCAAAATTTATCTACCGGGTGACAAATTAAATCGATTTAAAAATTTGAATATTTTCAGTTTTTTAATAATTTTTTATTAAATTACTTTAATTATTAAATTATAATATTAATTTTTTTTATGAATTTCATCACTTATTATTTACATAATTAGGTATTATTTAATTAACTAATTAATAATTTAAGAAAATAATTTCATATTATTTTACTTACCGAAAACAAAATTTGTAAAAATTAATTTCTCTTACATTTTGAAAATACAAAATTTATCTACCGGGTGACAAAAATTAAATCGAGCATTTAAAAATTTAAATATTATCAATTTATACGATTTCATTTATATTTTATTTATTTGTTTCTATTTATAATTGATAATTTTATTTATTGTAATAGAAGGGACAAAAGTAGAGGGGGAAATGACGTATATTTTTTTAAGGGAAAAAATTTTTGTATTCATTTATTTTTTTACTCTTGGGAAAATACCGGGAGATTCCCGAGAATTTTTTGAGAAACTTTTTTATGTGGGATAGTTAATTAAAATAAAACAAATGAGCCCAAATAATTAATAAATTAATAAATAAATATCATTTTGAATAGTATTTAAAAAAAGAACATTTTATGCATTCGCCCCATAATGAAACACTCTCTTATTTTCCAGAAGAAAAAAGAAAAATAATAAAAAATGATTGAAATGTCATGTGACATTGTTTTTTTTCGTCTTACGAATATGAAATAGATTTCACCAATGTATAAATGCAAATGGGCGCGCATAAATAATTATGTAAACACATGAATTACATTGTGCATTGCAACGTTGAAGTTTAATTTAACAACACAAATAAAAAAGTAAAAGATTAGAACTAAATTATCTGAAATATGATAATAAATCGTAATACTCTCAGTCATTTCTGACGCTGACGATATTCAAATATTGCCTCATTGAATATTTAATTTTTTAATACAACGTGGAGCAAATAAAATCTCTCTGTTATGAAATAGAAGTTGAGAATAATTTTTTAAAATTTATATATATATATATATATATATATATATATATATATATATATATACATAATACATTTTATATTTATATGTATGCCTCATGTAGAAACACTTTGTAATTCTAATTTGGACCTAATTGCATTTTTTATTTACTGCTCTGATGATTATCGCGCAATTAATGACACATAATATCAATTTTGTCCAGTAAAATATATGTAGCATTTTCCATAACAAATTTTCCATGATAAAATTATTAATCAAGAGTATTTTTTATTTAATGTAGAACTAATGAAAATGGGATAAGAGATTATTAAATAATAATTAATAAATGTTAATTAAAAAACATTAAAATATAAAAAAGCAGTTAGAAAATAAATAGAATTCAAAATGAAATATAAATTAAAAAAAAATTATTGATATTATTTTTTAAAATAATACTAATTATGTATTATAAATTTATTAGTTAAATAAATTACTTTACTAATTATTTATTAAATTCTCTTACAGGTTTTGTTAAAGTAACTAAAATTTTTTGTAACTTTAATTCATTTAGTCGAGTTTAATTATCTTCTTATTTATTTTCTACTGAAATTTAGTTTTTTTCTACTAATAATTAGTTATTCTCTACTAAGAATAAATTATTTTCTACTAAGAATAAATTTAGTTACTTTCTACTATTAATTGTTTTCTTATTAATATTTAGTTATTTTCTAATATTTAATTATTTTTTTACAACTAATTAATAATTTCTACCAATAATTAATCATGTTTTTAATACAAATTAGTTATTCTCGACTACTCATTAATTATATTCTACTAATAATTGGTTATTTTTTTACTAAGAATTAATTATAATACTAATTATTTACTTTCTACTATTAAATGTTTTCTTACTACCTACTATTTAGTTATTTTCTACTATTGATTAGTTATTTTCTACTATTAATTAGTTATTTTCTACTATTAATTAGTTTTTCTCTACTAATAATTATTTTTTTTCTACTAATAATTAATTATTTTCTACAAATTAGTTATTTTTACTAATAATAATTAATTTTATTCTACTAATTAGTTACTTTCTACTATTAATTGTTTTCTTACTAATATTTAGTTATTTTCTACTATTAACTAGTTTTTCTCTACTAATAATTAATAATTGTCTA